GGAATGATCTGATATAATGGCAAGATCGGCATTGAGCTGCGGAACGTCAGGCAGGAAAACTGTTGAGAAGAAGTCGGCAAAAGCTTCAGCTGCTTTGGCACCTGAAAATGTTTGACCCTTGTATACAACATTCGGTTCAAACCCACCTTTGGAACGCAGAGAAGAAATATGTGACCAAAATTGACGAGGGTTGTGTTTAATCTTGTTCTCTATATATGTCATGTATGAGGAATACGCCTCTGCAATTCTAGTTTTAAGGCTTGATCTGAGATTAGAAAATTTTGAATACGATGTGTGAGATCTGGATAGTTTCCATTCCTTATGGAGTTTCAACTTGACCTTAAGATCCTGTATTATATCCCTTGTGAACCATATGGGATAACGCCTATTTACTGACTTCCCTCTACGTTTTTTAGGCACGCACGCGTCAAAAAGACCATAAATAATTCTGTAAAACTTGGCAGTAGCTTCTTTTACGTCCATTGTCGCCAAAACCTCATCCCATATGTCCCTCATTTCTTACTTAGGTTCTATTTATATTAATTCTTCGAATATTCACTTGCCAATGAAATGTCTTTTCAATACCGCTTCTATCTCTCACAGGATTGTGTAGGTGTGAAAGCTGTAGTCATTACAAATTGAGGATTTTGGAAAACATAAAGACCGACTCTCATACTAAATGTATCACATGCACATCAAGCTATGCCAAACATTTAATACATTTTGAACTTTAATCTTTTGTAACAGAGACGAAATTTCTTTGAAGATATTTGTCAGTAAGGTTAGGTTAATGTGCCGCGGCTTTCCTTATAGAAATATTTATGTCAGTAATATGTTTGTAGACTCAAGTACATAGATTTGTATAGGTCTTATTGAATGAGCTCTTTTCAAACGTTTAGCATTTAGTCCAGGTTTAGGTTTTGTGGAATATACTTCTTAGAACTTGTTCATTAAGTATGATTAAGGTATGAACCACCAATCGTAAGTGCTTGTATGAAATTGAACTGAATAATATATTTTCTTGTCTATATGTCAGTCCTTTTGGCCACGTATGTTTGGTGGTAAGCGACCATGTAGCCAACAATAGATGGACAACTGTCCAGCAATATACTTTTTAAGCACTTTAAGACTACTTGGAAGTCAGGATTAGATGTCCCAACAGGGGCTGTGGAAGACTTAGCCAGACATCAAGGCTCCGGCTCTAAGCAGAAGTAGGAACGGGGTGGTTTTTTAATCAGTGAAAGTCTGACACTCCCTCTCGCCTCACCCAGGCGGAAGAAGTCATTGGATAATTTTCTTCCTCTAGTTACAAATTTCGCGGTGGCCCGGAGGTTTAAGACGCCCACTTCTCATGCATGAGAGTGCGGGTTTGAAACTTAGCAACGGCAAGTACCAATATGACTTTTTCCGAGTTATATGTACTGTATAAGATTATTTAGACACCACTGACAAACGGTGAAGAAAGACATCGCGAGGAAACCTAGCCTTATAATTTCTAATTATAAGTTTGAAATCACCAACCCGCATTGAGCAAGAGTGGTTATTAATGCTCAAACATTCTCCGTGTGAGAAGACGCTTTGTTCAGCCGTGGGCACTTATAGGCTGTTGATAATGATGATGATGATAATGATGATGATGACTTACAAATTTGTGTTTTGGATGAATGAAGTTCATTCAAATATTTATTCATTGGGAGTGTAGGTTATTTAATGAATAAACATGAAAATAAAGTCCCTAATGTGTTGCGTATACCAACCTGTAATCAACTATTACATGAACCTTTACAACTGAAGATAGAAAACCAGTTCCATAAAAAAACAGTAAAATGAAGCATAGCTATTACAATTAACTATCACTAAACGAGTTTAGGCCCAAAAGTAGTTAAGGTTATTTTCACTATGTGTCAACTAAATGGTCGGTGGTTTAAGGGATAGGAGAAACTTTATTCAAAATCAAAATGTCTGCCAATATGGGGTATTAGGTACGGTAAGTTGTTCTAGAGAGCCGAAGTAGGGGATGAGATTCTAAAACTGTCTCTTCTTAGTCATGTAAAAAACGTGATACGTCTAGCTGTAAATTATTATCGTTATGATGAGATGATTGATACGGACGGATGGAATAGCAAGAAAGACAAAGAAAAAGTAAATATAAAAAAGATGACGATTGTAGAAGAAATAAGTGCGGGAGAGCCATGCTTCGTCACGAAAGGGCCGGCTCGACCGGAGTAATACCACGGCCTCACAGAAAACCGACGTGAAGCAACGCTTGCGTTGTGTTTCGTCGTGTGAGTGAGGTTACTCGAGGCTCAATTCTACCCAAACCCCCAAAAGCTGACAACGCACTTGTACGTTGCTCTAGTATTTCTGGTACCCATGTGCGGCGCCAATTACTTACCATTAGGTGATCCGAATGCTCGTCTATCGGTTATCCCATAAAAAAAAATTAGCAATTGATGGCTTTTCCAGCGACATACCTTATGTACTCATTTCTGGCGTTTCACTCTTGGCAAAACGGTCGGGGTCACGTTAAGGCGGCCGTATTTGTGCTGGAGACGGTATTGCTTTCCTTACGATCTCCTGCCATATCTCCCTGTTTGTGGACTATCTGAAAGTCTGACGTTGGATTTCCTATAACCGATTTGACTTGATCAGTCCAGCATAAGTGATCTGCCTCAAGATCTGGTTCCCTGTACTTTCCCCTGAACGACCAGCCGCTCTATGGAGTTGTTATCACACCGGGAGACATGGCCCGAGTAAGTCAATATGCGTCACCTTAAGTTGATGGACGTTTTGTGATGCCCAGGTTTCGAAGTATGGATACGTTGGTTCGGAACTTATGTGTATGGTCGTTAATTACTTTCAGTGTGGTCATAACAGTGACACAGAGTAGAATACATTTGTCGCCATCCCTTCTTTTCCGCGGAGTTAGAGCCAACTAAGAAATATTGAATATTACGGTCAATCTATCTAAAATGGAGGAAGCCTATTATCCAACTGTGAATCGTCACGGATGCAGTTGTTGATGATAATAATCTAAAATTGATAAATTGATCTGCATTGACAATGTGCGACTGGTTTGTGGTGTACAGTATTTGTTATACTTTCAGGTCCAGTGGCAAACAATACGGTGCAAGCACTTGCAAACATTCAAATGTTTAAGAAGGCGTTCCAAACTTTTTCAGTTAATGTTGACCGATTATTTATACCCGAAACAAACTGATTTACAAGGTTGGTTATTCATTACATATGTGAAGACAGTTGGTAGAACGTAAGAAAAAGTAGTTAGTATGTTGCTGATAGGCAAAAAGTGAGCGTCTACTAATATATGAGAAACGAAACATAGCCACGAAAAACATATTAATTTGTAAATTCATATATTTTGGTCTAGTACAGAATAACTGTAAATAAACAAACCATTACGTCTTATCGCGTATGCCAGACAGCGATATTACACGTAACGTCGACTTGTTATGTAAAACCGTTTGATTTATGAGAACAAATTTTTATTTCGTTGACATGATCCTCAACGTGAAACGCAATATATGAGTACATACATTTTATTACGAAATTGTGGTGAAATATTCTTTTTAATCTATTTTTTTTTTTGCCTAAAACACGTCATTTTCTGGCAGTGGGTAATATGAATTTTTATGCAAAGCCATTATTTAGTAATAAAGATATATGGAGAACTAACCACAATATTATAAATATATACCTATAAGAACATGATCGAATGATAACTCACGTGTTTGATTGATGAATTGTTATTTCGAAAAATTACATCACCTTTAGGTATGTTTTTTTAGATGGTGACGAGTTCGACTTCATAATAGCTGGAGGTGGAGCAGCTGGATGTGTACTGGCCAACAGCACACAAGTACTCGATGATTCGCTGTCACCAGTCTCATCGATCATAAGTTTCAATCCAGCTTGTGCTGGAAGCTGGAGATGTGCAAACCTCAATCGGAAACTGCCTGTAAGGGCAGGCGTTCAACCATGGACTCTCACAGAGACTGGATTTGAGTTGCACCGGTTTGCGCTTCGGATACATACCTCTAAACAACTGGGCTGTCATTTTCGTACCGGGCTTGAGCAGGTTGTTGATGTGCAGCAAAAATAATGTTGCTGAGAGTACTGACCCCTGAGGAACCTCGGCGTTAATGCCAAGTTTATCGGATGAGCAGCCATCAATGACCTCTCGAATCGACCGATCCCTTAGAAGGTCTGTTATCCTTCTGCACAAACCAGTGGACAGTCCATACGCAGGAAACTTGCCAAAAAGGCTATCGTGTCAGACCGTGTCAAAGGCCTTCGAGACAATGAGCGAAACGGCTAACGCTTCCCCATGCTTCTCGGTGGGCTCGTTCCAGATGTGGGTAGTATTCGCAAAAAGGTTTCCAATAGATTGGTTACGATGAAATTCGTACTGCCGATCATTAAAGAGATCGTTATCTTCAAGGTGTGCCAGGAGTCTATCATTCAGTATACATTCCATAGGTACTCTTACAGAGTTTAGACGTCACGGAGATAGGTATAACGGTACTAGGGCTGGCACAGGTTCCACGTTAGCCAGCTTCCATTCATTCGACACTTGACCAGTCTCTAAAGATGGACGTGTCAAGTTTGGAGCCAACTCAGGTATACAAATTTTCAGAACTACGGCGAGGATTCCGGCGGGACTATGTGAATACGTTTATTTTTTGGTAAAAGGTCTCTATTTTTTTCAGAAGTAACAAGTTTATTCCTAAGTAAAGTCTGTGTAAGAGTGAGGCTAGTTTCGTTTTTTGAAGTATGAACACAAAAGAAACAATAAGTGTAAAATTATTATCACCCTATATAAAAGAAGATACTAAACTAGTTTTTTATTGTAATTGACTAAATAAAATACGAACATTTAAATTTGCTGCGTCAAAAAAGACATATACACTACTTTTACTATGTGGTATAAGTGAAAATTCGCTTATTTCAAGGATAAAAAAACTTCGTTGCAAGATCTCAAAATGGAGTCTTATGGTAAGTTTATAATCATAAGCTGAAACCAGATTGCTAACAAAGTAGACTGCTTCCCAAAAAAAAAAATTGGAATAGTGATGTCTTAATTTTGATCTTCAAGTCGAGCAAAGTATAATGGCTTTGGCTATGAAATTTTACCAAAGGTATCTGTGAAGAAGAAAGGGAGAGAAAAGGATCTACTTAGGCTTATCTTGAAAAAGATAATTATAGCAAACATAGAAAGGCATTCACAGATAAGTTTGAATCGTTTGCAGGCCATTGATCAAATTTAAAACATTTGGAGAAAGTCGCTTTATATAGAACACTAAGATGAGAAACATTTCAGGTCCAATGCCGAATAATACGGCACAAGCATTAGCAAACATCCAATTGGTTCAGGAAGGTTTCCAAACTTTGTCGCTACTCATGTTGACCAGTTACTTGTTCCCGAAACAGGCCGTTTTAAAAGGTTAGTAATTATTTCTTTCTCATGGAAGCTAGTAAGTATAAAATGGTGAGTAAAGAAAACATGTCTCTAATGCAAAAGCCAGGGAAAATTTGTTTAATTCTGTAGAACAGTACAACTAGGCAATTTTTTAGATTAATAACCATTACTGAGATTGTGACTAATTGATTTTTTCTTTAGATGGTGACAAATTTGACTTCATAATAGCTGGAGGTGGAACAGCTGGATGTGTACTGGCAAACAGACTGGTGAGAGCGAATCACCGAGTGCTTGTGCTGGAAGCTGGAGATGTGCAAACTTATGATTCATTTGTAAGTGCTACAAAAGTATCATGTTTATTTTAAGTAGATGCTATTAACACTGGATCTATTTATATGTAATTAAATTATTAATTTATGTTATCAAACATAGGAAAACAATATGAACCAATTTTTTATTTTTGATCGATGAAGCTGTCTCTTGATAATTTCATGCATATTTTCAGTTACCAGGAACTGTAGTGTACTTACCAAAAACTGATGGAGCTTGGAACTATTTAGCTCAACCAGATGGTTATACGGATAGATGCCACAAGCAACGGGCCATGTTTACACCTATTGGAAAGATGCTCGGAGGATCCAGTTCTGTTAACTTCATGATTGCTTCAAGAGGAGTAAAACATGACTACAATATCTGGGCCACAGCAGCTAATGATTCTTCTTGGCAATACAAGAACTTAGTCAAATACTTAAATAGAAGTGTACGACACGTCGGTCCTATAAGCATGTATCCACAGATCAATATGGAACTGGGTGATGGTCCATACATGGGTGAGGAAGGAAACATAGGGATATCCCAAGACTATAGTGCTGCTCTTGATGATTATGTTGAATCCTTTAAAGAACTGGGAAATAAAATAGTAAAATATCTTGGTGGTGAACATTCTAAGGGGTACGCTCGGGGATTGCTCACTATAGCAGAAGGTTACAGACAAAGCACAGCGTTTACTTACTTGTCACCAGTAAGAAATAATTCTAATCTGTTTGTGTCAAGGAGAACCGTTGTTAATAAAATAGTTTTCGATAGGCGAAAGAATGCTATTGGTGTAAGAGTTTCAATAGACGGTGGAGAAGAAATATTTTTGAGAGCCAAAAAAGAAGTGATTGTCTCAGCTGGAGCTATAAAGTCTCCTCAATTACTGATGCTTTCAGGAATAGGTCCCAGAAATCATTTGAGAGAAAAGAACATCACTGTTGTCTCTAATTTACCAGTTGGTGAAAACTTTCAAGATCAGCAAGTCGTAACGGTTATGCATGCAGCAAGAAAGATTAAAGATCCTGGCGCATTTAACTATCATCTTTACCCAGCGGCATTTATGTTAGGGTTTAGATCATTAAAACCGTGTTCTGAAACTCCCGATTACGCCACTTACAACTTTATACAAGAGAGATTGGAGTTCATACTTCAATATTGCGGACTTCCTTATGATTTTCAAAATGATATATGCGACCGATCTTATCGACAAGTTTTGGGAAGGCAGAATACTTATACACAAATTATAAACTTATACCCAAAATCACGAGGCAAAGTGACTTTGAATACTACCAACCCTGATGATGCTCCGTTGATAGAAACTGGATACTTTACTGAAGAAGAAGACATCAATAATATGGTGGAGTATGTGAAAGATTACCTTCCTCTTGTGAACACGACTTACTTCAAGAAAGTGAACGGTCGTATAGTAGACCCAGTTGGAGACAAGTGCAGTATGCATGAATATGGTTCTGACGACTACTGGAAGTGTTATGTGTACTGCATGGCTACGAGTATGTGGAACTTCGGTGGTACCTGCGCCATGGGCTCTGTCGTTGACTCCAAGTTGAAGGTCTATGGAGTTCAGCGGTTGCGAGTTGTGGATGCCAGTGTGATGCCTACTGTTGTTGCTGGTGGCAGTTACTTGGCCACAGTCATGATCGCTGAGAAAGCATCCGACATGATTAACGCTGAACATCGTAGTGATTAAAAGATTTTTGCTCATTGTAGGATTAGAAATAGATAGACCACTATCTATGTTTATTTCAAGATTTTGAACAATCGTTACTGTTTTGCTATTGAAATTGTATTGGTTTAGTTTTTATATTTCATGTTAAGTTTATCTTTGTTTCTATACATATCATACTTGAGGTGTATTTTGGTACTTTAGTGAATTATCTTTCTGTTTATGATCGTAGACAATAATTCTTGGTTGGATATTCGAGTTAAATTTGCTGGTGGGTTATTGAACTCATGTTTTATTTATTTTTACTAGTATTTAAATAGCAAAGTATTTTCAACTTATCGCAACAATTAATTAGTGTTATCGAAACATCCAACCAGCCACAGGTGATGCGTTTTGACACCACATTATTTGGTTGTTGTTGCTAAGTATATTGACAAACAGAGAGATGGACCAATGGAAAAACTGACTTATTGTTGAAATATAAATCCATAAAAATCCTGAATTTGCATGCAATTCGCAATTTGCTTTCAATTCTCTCTTTTTCATATACAGGACAATAAAATTGTATTTCACAAACCACAAGTATTCTCAGTGAGCACTATTAGCAATACTTTCTTATCAACAAGCTGAGCACGTCGCGGGTTCTATTCTCAGGTAAAGTAACTATTGAAGGGTGCAGGTGCATTCACCGAGAGCCATATATACTCGGCTGAAAGCTTTTAACTTGAGAGGGAAAATAACGATTGTAGTTCTAATGTTTTGTAGGAATAAGAGAATACTTTAATTTTTCATTTCAGTAGAAATATTTTCTTGTTGAATAGTTATTAAATTATCGAGCCGTGCATTGGTTGGATGGTCGTAAATCTATCTACTGTACATAGAGTATCGGTTTCTCGGGTCGGGGAAAGCATTATTGTCATGTTTGTGGTATTTCCAAATTTGTTTAGTAATAGCATGGTGTCTTAGTTTTAATAAAACCACAAAGGAATGGGGCCCAATAGGGCTGATGCCAATACGGAGCCATGGAGAACGTAAAAGTTTACCAGGTCTCCGGCTCGAAGTGTAGGAGTAGGAACAATGTGGTTTTTAGTCAGTAAGAGTCTGACACTCCCTCTCGCCTCACCTAGACGGAGAAGTCATTCAATGACTTCCCGCACCAAAAAAAATAAAAAGGGTGTCTAATAATTTGTGTTACGTATATGGCAGTAAGCTTACCCTCTATTATATGGGAGTAATAATATAACAGGTTTAACAGGTGAAATGTTGATGTACCTACTTTGTGTGTGTCTTCGGGGAAAAATACTTTTTATAAACTTTCTGATTACTCTTTCAATAAAAAAACACCTTGAATTTATTATTTACATTTCGATAAGTTCATTAACAGAAATGTTACTGTGAATATAAATTATACTGAATCCAAGCTAATTGACAATTAATTAAAAGTAAATTAGTACAATTGATAGCGGCTTACACCCAATTTAATGGAACCCTAATTTAGAGTTTCGTTTTCAATTCGCATTAATGCAATCAGACTGCAATTTGTATAATTATTTAGATTTATTTTGTAATGGAGAATAAATAGGCGCATAGTCAAATATATTGCAAGTTTAATGTATGTGAATGTGCTCATTTGTTTTGTCCAAGAGCGTCAGGTGGGACTGAGAATTTGAAAACGATTCAGGACGAGGCTCCATTTGTCCGTTGGGCTACGTTACGTCGTCATAGCGTAGTCGCAGCGTAGTGTTCCATACACTTTTTATAACATGCCCCATTACACCGTTGTGTCGTCGTGTCTGACGTTTTTACGGATCGACGGACATAAGGCGAAGCAGTGGGGAGAGCGATGCGCTACGTCGACGGACAGTCATCACGTTTGTAGCTGATACGCAGTTCCGACACCGTGTGTCGTTGTAACCCTGACGCGACGCAATGGACCAATGGAGCCTCGCTCTTACTATTTATTAGGTTTGTTTGTGTTTATGTGCATATAGAATATTTATTGCGAACTCATTATTAATTAACGAAGTGGAATAAGCAAGCCTTTGTTTCGCTTTGAGGCATTTTGATAAAAATCTACTTCACTTGGACCCTGCTCTAGTACTTTCTCCTGTACACATCACACCCAGACCCGATACAACAATTTGTGGATTAGGCACAATGAGTTGCTCCGTGCGGGAATCGATTGCCCAGTGATCGCCCCAACCTTGCAGTCAAACAATGATAGTGGTATCCATACCTAACTTGTGATGACCGATGTGATACGACAAATATATGTATAACAAATAACAATCAACTAAAATAGTAGAATTCAAATATAGAATACATAACAACGTACGATGAAGATTTAACCCGTTTTAGCCATAATTTAATCTAGGTATTATATATAATTTAATTTATGATACGCCATCTTGAATCCTCTACCTTTGATTATAAGCTGCATCTACCACCACGCTCGGATGTCGTCAGGTGGAGTACTCGCAGGGTCGTCACGCTCGTGATACCACGCGACGACATGAAACGTATTAATGCTAGAGCCATACTATTCTCGATGCAGGTATTTTAGTGTTAAATATTAGTTGACAATGTGTGACATTACATTTTTTTTTTAGAACTTCTAATATAATAATAACTACTAAATACTTCATTTTTTAATATAACATAAAATAAAAATCGTGATGCTTTTTATCCCCGAAGGAGTAAGCAGAGATGTCCATTGCCATTGTACAATGTAACACCCACTTATTACTTCACACAGACTACATTCAGCTATATAGTACCTGTTAGTACAAATGTTATAATTTATTTATTTATTTATCAAGGACAACAAACAGCAGTATATTAACTCGTCGAGTACCGGTTTTATAGACACAATTAAACAACAATAGGTCGCGGTCACCGGTGACCGCTTGGTGTTTGACAGTTTAAATATAACACGAGTGAGTAAAATAACAGATTAAACAAATACACTCCTCACGACGTTGCCACAGATTACCATAAATCTACTTAGCAATAACAATGGGGCAAACTTGAAGCTACCAACTATATAAACATAGGTCAAATAAAGGTCCCCTTTCAATTAATAGACCTTTGGCCTTTAATCGAATAAAAATAGACATCGTTTATTACAGTGTCTGTTTTTACACGTGTAGACACCGAGTGTGTGGCTACAGGGTTAGAAATTCGAATGCTCTGCGCCAATCGAGTCGGCAATCGATTCACCCGAGGAATCCGTTTCGTTCAGTTAATGGTATGCGGGAGCAGGTGATTTGAATAGTTAATCGATATCTTTAATATTCGAATAGTTTACGAGAACGAATGCTAGTTTAATCAAGTCTTTTATGCATAGGTACGGTATGCAAATATGTAATATTTTATTCGATTTTTATAACACCTCTATCGGCAACAGCAACGTGGAATAAAAACGTCATGTTTAGGTAATGCAACTGCCTCGTTGGCCGAGTAGTCGCAAATGCGACTGCCGGGCAAGGGGTCTCGGGTTCGATTCCCGGGCCGGGCAAAGTATTACTGGGTTTTTAAAAAAATCACAGTAGTAGCACGGAGTTTGGAATTGTACCCGATATATGGCAATAGGCTCACCCCCTATTACATAGGACTCATAACATAAACAATAACATAATGAAAAGTTTGTGTTACATTGTACACTGGCATAATGTGCACCTCTGCCTACCCCTTCGGAGATAAAAGGCGTAATGTTATTATATTATGTTAAGGTAATTTTGCAACTAGAATCCAGACGACAACCATCACGACCTCAACACAAAACGACTCCTAGCTAGAGGTAGATAGAGCTAGCTCTCTAGCTCTCAAAGGCTATGAAAACTATAAAATATATTCATGTTTACGTTTGAAAGTTTAAACTCGTCTGTGGCGTTGTCAGACCGGTCTGAAGCTGCGTCTGACGTTTAAGGCAGGATCTTACTTAAGCCGTTGTAGCGAGCCCTTTGTTTTAGCTCGGGACAACATTCTACTCTCTCCCTTATAAAGGTTCAGTACTACAATGAAAATTTTATAAAGAGAATCTATTTATTAAACACGTATACTTAGCATTCTTGTTTGGTTTTCTTCAAAGAGGTAGGTATGTGAATATTTGATTCTGACGTGTTAATTTATTCAAACGATTTTCGCTGTTATCGTTTTGTAATAAAGTTGCAAGTCTATTCTGAAATTTTAGGGTAGTTCGTACTTTATCGTGGTTATACTCGCTTGTTCGAATTATAAGTTTTTTTTTAAGGGGGGACAATCATCGAATAACTGCTCCCGCCTGGGTGAAGCGGGAGGGAGTGTCAGACTCTTACTGACTAAAAACCACCCCGTTCCTTCTCCTGCACGTCGAGCCGGAGCCCCGGTGTATTATTACAAATAATAGTTCTCAATAATTAATAAAATAGATATTGGTTTTACACAATATTCTCAGTTCTTCATGATTCAGTTTACATAAAAAAATATTGCATGTCCATCAGTTCAGTAATTGCTTTTCGAAAAATTGTAAACTTAGCCCTTGCCACGGCAATAGTAAAAAAAAAACGAGTAAATATCGTAATTGACAGTTTCTATAATTTGTCAGCATAAAACGAACTACGACCAAAACTATATATTTTCCCAGTTCCAATATTTCCACTTTGTGACCACACATAACTCTGGCCGGTAACAAAGTTTGTTTCATTTATTTATTTTACCCACAAATCTAGTTTTGACGCTCAAATCAACGAATATTGCTGGAATTCATATTTGGAACGATTTCGATTTTGTTTTGTACGTTGTGTATGACGTCACGTTTTACGGCGCTCGTGATTGGCTGCATGTTGATGGGATTACCACAGATAACAAATACGTATTGCTATTTGAATTGCCTACAGATGTATGTATGTGTGTGTGTGTGTATACACCTATAAATATGGTTGTCATTAGTGCTTAAGTGTTTAATAACATGAAATACAAAAATTATATTTCAAGTCGAACCTATAGGTAGTTCAAGCAAACAACAAACTCTTCAGCTTCAAATA